TTTCCCCACACTCTCTAATGTTAGGAATTTGAAGGCCTGTTTTTATTGGTAGCTTGGGAAACTGGACCTGATGTATAGTTCTGGCACTTCTTTTTTTTTTTTTTCTTAAAGATTTTATTTATTTGACAAAGAGACAGAGAGAGAGCACAAGCAGTGAGAGCAGCAGAGGGAGAAGGAGAAGCAGACTCCCCACCGAGCAAGGAGCCCGATGTGGGACTTGATCCAGGACCCGGGGATCACGGCCTGAGTCGAAGGCAGATGCCCAACCGACTGAGCCACCCAGGTGTCCTAGTTCTGGCACTTCTAATCTTCATTTCTCTCACTGCATGTCATGTTCTAATCACAGTCTTCTTAACTGGTTCACTCCAAACAGCATGGTCCTGACTGCGTTACAGGATGGTGCTTGGAAATTTGAGTTAATCATCTATTAAATCACATTTTATCCTTCCCGTTGGTGTTGCCCCAGGACTCAGTTTTCTCTGAGGACAGGATTGGCTCAGATCCTCACTCAGATGTGTCTTCCCTTGGAGCCAGTGTGGGCCAAGTGTGGACTGGTTCCTGTTGTAGTTATGTTGTACCAGCCAGAAGCGTGAACCTCAGCTGCTGTGGTCTTCTGCTTGCCGGACATCTGACGACCACTCAGCTTGTGCTTCAGGGAGGCAGAGGGCCAGGCAGTGGGCAGTCACATCTCCAATCCTGCCCCTTTGCTGTTGGTTCTGCTTGTGCACCCCAGTGCCCGAATTCTGGGTGGCATGGTCTGGGGGTGCCGAGCTCCCCTGATTGCCATTACTGACCTTGGCCTGAATGACTCTTGAATTCTGTTGCACTTGACTGGCAAGCCAAGTGCAGCCAAGTAAGCAAGCCAAGCTTGCTGCTAACCTGAAGCATGTTGTTCAGGGAGTTACATCGGTCAGGGAGCTAATATGTCTTGCCCCCCATGACATTCCTGTTAATATTCCTCTCAGCCTCGGTCTGCCTTTCTCTTACCATCTCCCACATGCTGACTTTTCGCTTTCACAAATAGCTAGTCTCCTTGAACAACTTCTGTAGAGGCTTAAAGGTAACATCCTTTGCATCTATAGAGTACTTTATATTCTTCAAAGCACTTCCATATACATTCTATCATTTGATCCTCACAAGAACTCTTTCAGGTATTTAGGTTGGGCATATATCCTGATTTCCCTGCCGAGGACATGGTGACAGTGATTGGGCAACTTGTTCATCCTCAGGGACTTAGTTAATGCAGACCTGGTATCAAAATGCAATTGGGTTTTGGTTGGTGATTTTGTTCATTCATTCATTCATTCATTCATGTATTCATTTATTCATATACTCTTATTATATTGAGAGGTAGGAGAAAGGAAAGAGCAAGGGTTTGGGGATAGACAAATTTTAATACCATCCCTTATTAGTTGTGTGAACTTTGTCATTTACTTATAACCTCTCAGAAGATCAGGTTCCTTCTTTATAATATAGGGAAGAATTATGACTTAAAATGCTTATATGTGATTTAATAATACAGGAAAATTACCTGGCAATAATAGAGTCTGGCTTTATGGTAAATTACAGGTAAAATGTTATTATAAGTACATAATATGTAATATAGGCTACTATTATAGGTACAAATGGTCAAATATTGACAATTTTATAATGGTAGAAACTCAGTGGCTTATATTTATTGAGTCCTTGCCTATGGTATGTGAGGCCCTGCTAGATCCCAAGCATGCAAATAGAAATGAGAAGAGGTCTTCTTCGTATATATCTTCCCTTAGACTGTGGAGGGTAGAGCCTGTGCCTCTTGAATCCCCCACACCAAGAACAATGTTTGCCCAGGTAGTAGGGGCTCCGTAAATGGTGACTGAGCCTAAGAGTCCCTGCCTGCAAGGAGAATACCAACTAGTTAAGAGAGGCAGTCACATAATCATATGGTTATAATAAGCAGGTATTTAGGTCGATACATGCAAGCTCTCGTGAGAGCCCAAGGCAACAGCGCTCAGTTCTACCAAGGGAGAGTGAAGTCCAGGGGCGGGTTGGGGGCAAAGCTGCATCAAGCAGCTGCATCAAGACTAACTGTGGTCTGTCTGTGGAAGGGAGCAAAAGCAATTTGCTTACCTTGGACAGCATGCTTTCTCTCAACTGACCCCCTCCTAATGTGTGAAATTGAGTTTGTATTCAAAGCAGCTTTTCTGTTTGTCTCACCGCCCCTTTGTTGCTGGTATCTGCCTTAATGTATTGCTTTGTAAAGTGCTCTGCTCTATCCTTAGTATAAAAGAGACGCTCTGTCAAACCAGATTCTATTCTTTGGGTGTCACAACTATCCATTGCATAACAAAGTCTAATATATTGTGTGAGAAGAAATAGAGGAACACAAGAGATAGTTTAAAAAGAGCAAATAAAACATCAAAGTGGGAGAGTGTAGAGTGCATTAAAGTTAATAAACTGTCATGGCAGGGTGGACCACTTTTCAATGTGAAGGAATCTGATTTAGGGACTTGTCAGTGTAGGATCAGAATCTCATTGGAATGAAGCTAGCCGCTGGTTTTGCCACATTTGAAATCTTTTGGTTCTTCCTGAGAAGCAATCTCTGAAATTGAACAGATTATTCTTATAATTATTATTTTGCCAACAGCTCTTTGAGGTGCTCAACCTATCTGTCTTCCCCTGAATGTTCAGTGCCGCTCACCCCCATATAGCACTACTTTGCTTTAAGCTCCAGGACGAGGAATGCGGGTCCTGGCCCTCTTGCTAGGTTGGATACAATTCATTGACCTGGGTTTCCAGGGTTCACGGAGACCAGAAGACTGTGCTCAGGGTTGAACCACTGAGCTACTCGTCTTATTCATAAGCAATAGACAAGACGATCAATATAGCTCTCCTTCTTGGCAGCGTGGAAGGATGAGCACCACAGCGAGAGTTCCAAAATGTTTTCTGCCAAGAACTGGATTGGATTTTGTGCTTCTTCAGCCACAGAATGTCCCCAGCCTCTCACTCCTGAATCCTTAATGCCCTTTGCAGTCAGTCTGCTCAGACTGAATGCTTCCTTATCTTTCTTTTCAATATCCTCATTGTTTCTTTTTGTTAGTTGAACTCTCAAACTCTCAAAGTTTTTAGATCCCTGGTATCTTACCTTTCCTTTCATGCAAGTAGGAGATATTAAGTAGCACTTTCATCCTTGATCTTGGTAGAAGAATGAAAATCCCTGCTTCTGATTTTGGGTACAGTTTGTAGAATACTTCCTTGGAGAACAAAAATGCTATGTTTACATATTGGCATGCTGGTATTATAGTATCACTGACCTTGGGAAAATTACATAACTGTTTTGAGCTTCAGTTTCTCCATTTGAGAAATGGGGATAAAGATGACTAATTTATAGGATTTCTATGAGGACTGAAGAGATCGCATATAAGGAAATGCCTAACACAGTGCACAGAGTATAACAGGTGTGCCATAAATGATTATTTAAAACAAGTCAAAACAGGGGCGCCTGGGTGGCTCAGTCGTTAAGCGTCTGCCTTCGGCTCAGGTCATGATCCCAGGGTCCTGGGATCGAGCCCCGCATCGGGCTCCTCGCTCCGCGGGAAGCCTGCTTCTCCCTCTCCCACTCCCCCTGCTTGTGTTCCCTCTCTCGCTGTGTCTCTCTCTGTCAAATAAATAAATAAAATCTTAAAAAAAAAAAAATAAAAATAAAACAAGTCAAAACAACATAAGCAGGATCAGTTCTATTTAAATAAGAAGAGCCTTTAGAGAATGGTGAGAAATGTAAAGAGAAATGACCAAGCTCCATAGGGAGCTGTGTCCTCAGTCTGGTGCATAGTGTAAGATTTAGGGGCATATGGGGAAGCAAAATGCAGGAGTGTGTTATAGGTAAAAGGTGGTGAATTATGTACAAACACGGAATCAGTCATCTCAAGGAAGTCGTTGCTATAGGATGCCATGAAAAATTTTTCTAACGTGGCTCTAACATTACTACAGATATCAATAGTATTTGTCCACATCACCATACTTTGATGTATAACAAATCACAATAAAACTATTCCTTATAGGGGTCCCTGGGTGGCCGAGTTGGTTGGGCATCTGACTCTTGTTCTCAGCTCAGGTCTTGATCTCACGGTCATGAATTTGAGCCTAGTTAAAAACAAAAAACAAAAATCCTATTCCTTGTAATAATTGACAATGTGAGAAGCAGTGTGGTGTAATGCAATGAAATGTAAATTGACATAAAAACCAGAAGATCTGGATTCGTGTCTGTTTCACTTAATTGGTTCACAGTGTTGGACTTCTTAGCTTCTTTGAGCCTTAGCTTTAATATCTATAAAAGGGGAATAATAATATCTTTCTTATTTTTTTCCCCTCTTGGGTTATTGTCAGGATCAATTGAGATGTTTTTTAAAGTACTGTCCATGTATTGGTTTATGGTGTTTTGTTGTTGTTGTCCCGTAGTAGTAAAAGTCAGTTACTAAAAGAGTTGCTGAAGAATTTTTCAGGCTCTTGTCCTCTTTGAGGTGAGCACAAAGTAAAGGGGCTTATGTTTCTTTAGCTCCCAATAGCCAGCTTATCTAGACCATGTTTTGTTCTTAGCCTCTCCTGAGTCCATTTTGCAGTTCATTTGCCTGGTCTCTGCCATTCCCTTGGCCCAAGAGCAATTCAAGGATGGGTTGTGGCAGAAGTGCCAGGGATCACACAGCACCAGAGGGACCCCCGCCTTGGCGTGACTGCCTGGACCACTTGCGTCCTCTTTCCCTCTTTTGCCTGTTTGCTGCTGATGGCCATAGCAATAGCTTTTATTGTCTTGCTTAAGGATTCCTGATGTTTTTGAAAGTTTCATTTTCTTTCTCCCATTCTGCTGAGCAGATATGAGAGATCAGGGACTGGGCTTGAAGATAGACATTGGGTTGATGATCAGTGAAAGGAGATAAGGCCCTTGACTTGCAATATCCAGCCCCTTCAAAGATAGGTCATGGAGTAGAGTCATAATTTAACTACTCTCTTTGTGTTTTCAGGGAGTCGACGAGTTGAAGATGAAGCCCAGAGCAGAGTGCTGTTCTCCCAAGTTCTGGTTGGTGTTGGCTGTCCTGGCCGTGTCAGGCAGCAGAGCTCGTTCTCAGAAGAGCCCCCCCAGCATCGGCATTGCTGTCATCCTCGTGGGCACTTCCGACGAGGTGGCCATCAAGGATGCCCACGAGAAAGATGATTTCCACCATCTCTCCGTGGTACCCCGTGTGGAGTTGGTAGCCATGAATGAGACTGACCCAAAGAGCATCATCACCCGCATCTGTGATCTCATGTCTGACCGGAAGATCCAGGGCGTGGTGTTTGCTGACGACACAGATCAGGAGGCCATTGCCCAGATCCTTGACTTCATTTCAGCCCAGACTCTCACCCCCATCCTGGGCATCCACGGAGGCTCCTCAATGATAATGGCAGATAAGGTAAAAGAGGGCTACAGGGAGGAGAACCTGGGGGCAGGGGTGGTTTGTCTTGAGAACTGAATGACACATGTGTTGTAATGTAAAACTTGATGATGAAAGATGGAAAGTAACCAGAATGCTCTGAGTAAGTAGATAGATCAGGGATCAGTCCCTTCCTTTGGAGATGAAGGTGAGGAAAAGGTGCAGGTATTCAGAGCGCCTACAGTCTTGAACAGGTGTGTGTGTCCATTTGTTTGTAAATGGATTCACTGAAATGACTAAGAGATGTTGAAGCTTATAGTTCTGTGATATATTTTCTTCAAATATGTGTGTGCATAGCTCCTTTAAACCTTTAAAGTAAGGCGTGCTCTGTTCTTTTTTGGAAACACATATTCTACTCCCCCCGCCCCATGCCAGCTTCAAGACTATAAAAAGAAAAAATCCCTTGAGGCAGATTATTTGTCTCCTTGCAGATACAAATGTCATAGGGAAGTACTTACTGCTAAGGTGTCTGTGCGTGTCACACGGGGATCTACACATTGGAATGGATTTTAATCCATGGAACCAGTAGCAGCTGCATTTTCTCCATGCTTAGATTTGAAGGCATTGGTTCTTAACCTTGGTTTCGCATTGGATCACTTGAGGAGCTTTCAACACTTCTGATGCCTGGGTCCCACGCCCAGAGATTCTGATTGTTGGCCTGCAGTGCAGCCTGGACGGCTGGCTTCTTGAAAGCTTCCCACATGATTCTAGTATGTGATTAAGGTTGCGCACTGCAGCTTTACGGCCTCAAAGAAATCGTAGACTTCTACGTTAACGTGAGGTTAACTTTCTCTGACAAGCTAATTAGGATCTGACAGTGTTTATTCTCTAGTTGCACAGAAGGTGTTTTGTTTTTCCATTTTTTACTTATTCAGAGATTTCTCCTTGCTTTATTGATTATTGCTCATTGCTTAGGTACAGCGCTTCTCACATAGGCGTTGTCCTTTGCGGTTATTCATACCTTAGAATGATTCATTTCACCACAAGTGCAGGATTTATTGGCTCTCATCACTTTGGGTTTTTTAAATGGTCTCTATCTTTGCTTTGTCGTCTTCTGCTTCTTACCATCACTTTCAAAACTGTCTGTAGTTCTGTACTTAAAGGACGTGCAGTGGGGTCACTGATGTTTGTAAATACCTCAAAAGCTAGCACTGACAGCACAAGCATGCTCCTGGGCCAGCTGAGAACCACTACAGTGCAGAGTTTAGCAGGCTCAAGTAACCGTGTGTGATCACTACCGCCATCTGTCGGCAGCAGGCAGAGATGACTCTCTTCTGTTTGGGAGCTTCCTTTATTCAGTCTAGGAAAGGTCAAGTTGAAGTACTCAATGGAGGGACCGCGGGTTGCATATGAGAAGGGTATTCTTCCATTGACCTGGGCACAGGTAAAGACATTAGAAAACAAATTATGGCACTAGAAGCCCATGCTGAGAGAGGTGGGATAAACTGAAGCAGAATAGAAAATATAGACCAACTGTGACAAACCCCTTGAGCTTTTGCTTCAGGTAGATTTTTTTTTTTTTTTAACATCATTGTCCTTAGTTGATTATGTTATATTTTAGCAGTGGTATTTTGAGAGCACAATGTTGTGCTGAAAGAAGGCCAAGATGGATGAGCCAAATTTTTGAATCATAAATAAGTGCGTACTTGAGAGCATGACAGGTGAAAATAATTTTTTTTTTTTTCGGTTATGCAGGCTATCGTGCAATATTTCAGCACTTCCGCCCTCCCGCCCTTGTAGAAAAGGTTATTGGTTACACTGGTTAGTTGTTTCTCTGTTGTACCTCTTACAAATGCATAATAACAATATAATCGATCATATGAGGTAAGACGCAGCCCATGTTGAGAGACTGGGCTCTTTTGTTCATTGATTTGTTCTAGGAGCTTTAGTGTTTCCCATGTGCTCGAGCACGTAGCACTTTGTATACATTGTCTTATTTAACACTCTTAACAACTCAGTGAACTAAGTGATATTATTTATCTCCGTTTGACAGATGGGGAAACTGAGGCTCAGAGAGATTGGAAAAAAACATAGCCCAAATGATGTAGCTAGTAAGTGCAGCCAGGATGTCAGCATTGGTTGCTGGCCCCAAAGGCCACATGCTCTCTTGCCTCTCAAGAAAATGGCGACGCTAGTTAAGGTCTCACATACCTTCCTGTTCTTTACTTTATCCTCCCTTGTATAGCACTGTGGTAGATATTACCTAACTAAAAGTAATCCATCACTTGATTCATAATGGCAATCCTGGGATCTGACTAAGGAGAGAAGTAATGAAGAGTTGAGATGGAATAGCTCTTAGGTGCAGCCTGAGTCCACAGTGGGCCCCCTGGTTCCTACTTCTAGGGGTAAAAGGGAGGATTGAAAGCAGTGAGGTGATGGCAATGAGATTCCTCTCTGGTCTCTCTCCCCTTTCACCTCGCCACCATGGCAACCACACCCAAATATTCCATCTTCTCTTTTTCTCTTTGCAGTAAAAAAAAAAAAAAAAAAGGCAAACAGTGGTTTTTAGGCAATTTCCTAAAATAGCCTAAAAAATATCTGACTTCTAACCTGAAAAGATTTCCAAAAGGTAGGTAGAAAAAAGAAAAGGAAGAAAGAAGGAGGTCCTGATACCACAGAAGCTGGAGAGTGGAAAGCTCAGCCCTGAGGGGTCAGACACCTGAATGGGCTGGAAGCTGCAGAGGAGGGTGAGCAGGGACCACCCGGACTGAGTGGGCAGCAGCGCCAAGATTCCCGGGAGCTGCGCAGAGGGACATTCGCAGGGTTAAGGGATTTGCATGAAGGCAAATAAAGAGAGTCCCCAGATCTCAGAGAAATAAGCTTTTGGGGCAAGTTTCAAAAATAAAACATCTCAAGTTCTAAGGCCAGTTTTTTTTTTTTTTTAAATAGAAGTTTATTTTTAAGTACCATGGACATATTTTACAAACATAGAATGAGGACACAGAGTTTGACAACTGTGAATCAACTGTGCGGCCACAGGACAAAACATTTGAAAATGAAACAGATGCAGAAAATCCAAGAAATCCAGCTTTGCCACGCTTAAGGCCTAGTCTTTGAGGTACAGGTACCATCTGAAGGATGATAAATAAGCCTTCTATTTTGCTTCCCCCTTCTAGGAGATAGGTAATCGCCATGCCATTTTATCTTAGTTTTGTTGTTGTTAGTTTGCTTCAAATAAAGCCCACTTATTAAGTGTTCTTGTGAAAGGTTGTATTATAGGAATAAAATCCCTGATTGAAGGAGTTCGTAATGGAAGAAAACACGGATATAGAGATTTTTGACCAATGTGGAGAGAGACACAAGGTCAGCGTCTGGTCAAATAGCTTGTGCTCACTTTTTTTTTTTGCATATGCTAATTAATGAGTACAAACATTAATGAGTGTTTTACTTTCCCAATGAGGAAAGGTACCTTATACCATGGTGGAAAAAAGCATGAGAGCTAGAAGAGTAGAACTATTAGAAGCTCTGAATTTGGAGTCAGAGCTGGTGTTAACCATCACCTCTAGATGTGGGAATCTGGACTACTCACCAATAATCTAGATTTACTCTAAATATTGATCTCCTTGCCTGTATAGTGGGGACCATAATATATATTATAGGGTGGTTGAAGGTTAAATGAGAAAATACATAGCAGGTGCTTCACTAAGTGTCCAGCACAGCATTCTGCAGGCTAAGCTGAAGGTTATTTGGAACAATTTGAAGAAAGGGAAATTTCATGATACAAGAACAGAATGGGAATTGGATAGAGTCATGGCCAATTGTAGAGACACTTCTGAACTGGATGCTGACGAAGAAAAGAGGTCAGGTGAAAATCTGGGGAAAGGCTCTGATGTGTGAGGTAGGACCCTTGGTCCTTCCCCACCATGAAGCCAAAGCTCATTGGAGGTATAGTCATGCCATAGCCAACATAGGAACGTTCAGCTATGGAAGAGCTCTTATAAGGAAAGTACTGCTAGGTGTCTATAACACAAGACTGTTTAGAATAGTAACAAAGACCATTTAAAAATGTATGAGGTGATTTTTGGCAGTTCCCCACCTGAGTATAAAGAGCCTACTTTATTTTGCCTTGTTGTAATTGCTTTTATTCTCCCTGAGATCCTGGATTTAGTATGCCCATCTCAATCTAAATAATGAACTAAAGCTAGATGTACTTCCATTTCTTTTCAGGAGGTTTCTCTGCTGATTTGCTGGAATCTTTCTTGGGTTTTCAGATTTTAGCTCAGAGAGGTTAAATAACCCATCCAGGATACCACAGCTTGTGAGCAGTGGGAATGGGATTCAAATCCTAAAAGTACCTATCTTGAAGCTCATGCTTCCTATTGATATAATTCTGCCTCACAGAACCCTAAGTAAGAATTATAAGTCCTGAGTTTCAGTCTCCATTCTCATGAGCTTTGGAAATTTGAACAAACAAATCACATAAACTATGTGATACTCAGTTTACAGTTTATAAGATTTCAATTTTGTTTTCTGCCCTATCCACTTTACAACACTTTGAAGGTAAAATGAAATGAAATATGTGGGAAACTCTGGAAAAGTACTGTACAAACAGTTGCTTTAGGTGAGAGAACAAGGAGCACTGTGACAGGGAATGACAGACCTACCTACTGACATTAGCATTAGGACCAGTGACAATGGTTTGGGCAGGAAGTAGCAAGGAAAACGGAAAGTGGGAGTTACAGTAGGATCAGGCAAGAGGACACAAGATCTGGTCTTTAATGCTGCAAGAATGGAAGAGAAAAGGGTATGCCAAGCAGAGGGTCAGGGTCTGGAAGTAGATGGGTTGATCAGAGTGAAGTGTAAGGTAGTTAAAACAGGCACCATACTCCATATCTTGTTCCTAATCAAGGGCACGTGAAAATATTCTCACTCTGGTGTCTGTTGTTGGCATTCTTTCTAAATTGTTTGGTTGAGAAATGTTGCTTTGAACAGTACTCTGATTTTTTGTACAGAGCGCTACATTTTGAATCCAAGTGGGG